TCGCCACGAGCCTGGTTCTCTCGCTTCAGTGATGTAGTCATACGATTGAGGTTGCCCGTAGAAGCAGAGGTATTGTTCTTTCTCAGAGAAAGTATGTTTTGGATCTTCTTTCAGACACTGGGATGCTGGGGTGCAAACCGGCATTATCACGTATGATTCCAAACCTGAAGCTTACTGCTGAAGGTGAGGAGTTGAAAGATCCGACAGTTTATCAAAGATTGGTAGGTAGACTTATCTACTTAGTCAATACTAGGCCGGACATTTCATTCGCAGTCAGCCGAGTTAGTCAGTTCATGCATAGGCCATGTCAGCCTCATCTTGATGCAGTTTATCATATTCTTCGGTACCTCAAGTCTTGTCCTGGACTTGGGTTGTTTTATGCATCAGGATCTCAGACCGGTTCTCTAGCCTGTTATTCAGATTCAGATTATGGGGGAGCATGTGATGATCGATTCTTGACGAGTTGGGTTTTTCAGTGACCTCTCCATCCACATTATATTGTGATAATCAATCTGTTATTCAGCTCGCTTCTGACTCTGTACTACATGAGAGAACGAAGCATATAGAGATCGATGTTCACTTTCTTCGGGAGAAGGTCAGCAGTGGTCTTGTTACTCCATCGTTTGTGGGGACCAGTGATCAAGTTGCGGATGTTTTTACCAAACCTGTTACTCTGTCTATTCTTCGGGTCTCCGTTGTCAAGCTTGGCTTAGTTGACATTTTTGCGCCTAGCTTGAGGGGGAGTGTTGGAGTATAGATAGTCTAGGTTTATTAGGATTTCTTTTCCCTTTAGGATTTCTTTTCCCTTTTTTACCCTTACTATGATTTTTATATTTTGCCTATATATACGGGGTTTTACTCTTAATTTGAGTATCTCTTTTTACTCACAATTATTTCAAGTCATTATTCACACACATTGACGTTAAAAAATAATATGAGAAATTTCAGTCACACCCCTTCTAATTTATCATATTTTCAAGGAGATACCCCTATAATTTTTGAATTTTCACTGACACCCCTGTGAGATTAAAGACCTTAATTAGAATGCAATTTTATTTAATTTTACATGATATATTTTAGAAAAAAAATTTATCTACACCCATCTAGATAAACATATTTTCAATGAGACTCCTTTTATTTTTTAAATTTTTTTAAGTAATAAAATTTGGACCAACTAAAATTCGATACAAGTCGAATAAATTTTTGTTTTAATCAACTCAAATCAAGTTTTAATCAACTAGTATTGAATTTTAACCGGTCCGAATTTTGATATGTAAAAAAATATAAATTTTAATTGACTCAAATTTTAATACATAAAAAATGAATTTTAATCAATTTGAATCAAATTTTAATTAGCACGAATTTTAATAATTATAATAATATTAATTTTTAATTAATTCAAATTTGATAAGAGTACAATTCTGGGCTAGAGCCACCAACGAGCCCGAAGCCTAGAAAGCTAAGGAAAATTGGAGGAAAGTCTAGTGACTCGACATTGAAGCATCTCTGATTAACCCATGACAAAAAGGTTGAAAAGGAGAGGCCCAACGTGCACCCGAGAGGCAGTGGTCCAGTCCTGGTCCAATCAAGTGTCAGCTAAAGGACAGTTCGAAGAGAAGGAATCGGATCCCTGCCTCAGAGTCATCCTATCGTGCCACGCGTCCAAAAGACAAGAGGACCATCTCTGAAACCTGCGATAGCTACATCCTTCAGCACGTAGAAGATGGTGGAGTATAACGCCCTAAAGATCATGGGCACAGTGGTGCCGACTAGAAGAGGCTTTTGCAGGCCAATGACAGGAGGTTCCTACAGGATCGATAAAGGTAAAAGACACCGCCAGCAACCAGAAAGAGAGACGACCCATATATAAATAGAACAATGTCCTACAAAAAGAGCACATTCGGAGAACATTTATGAACGATTTCCATTCTATTAGCAAAACATCAACCCCTGCAAAGGCTCAGTGTCTAATCCCACCTGTATACGTCGGAGCTTTAATATACAACATTAAGGAGCATGAGACTCCATTACAGTGGACGTACCCTCGATCTTTTGGCTGAGGCGAACCATTTATCTTCTTCGTTTCCTCTTTAATTAGACAGTCTAATCTACCAAACCTCCTCTAACACCAGATCCCAATAAACCTCGCATATGTTGGGCTTGACAGTGATTTTCGAGACCCTATTAAAATCAAATTTTAATCGATTCAAATCAAATTTTAAATGGTGTTAACAACTCAGGTTGAACTCAAATCGACTCGAATTTTAATATGCAAAAAAAAAAAAATTTAATAAACTCAAATTTTAATACATAAAAAAATAAAATTTAGTCATCTCGAATTGAATTTTAATCTTGCCAAATTTTAATATGTAAAAAAAATTAAGTAACTCAAATTTTAATATGTAGAAAATAAATATTAATCATATCAAATTTTATATAAAAAAATTGTTTAAGATTTATGTTGGGACAATTTTAACAATTTAGTAGAAATTGTAATTTAATAACAAGGAGTGGTAGGTATGTTTAAATATAAATTAGAAAAAGTGTCAGTAATATTTTTTTGGATAATAGAGGAGTGTATTTGAAAATAAGAAATTTTCCAATAAAATAATATAATATAAAACTTAACAATTGCCACCTTGTGATCGGACAAAATAGAGAGATGTACTGTCGTCCTCCAACCAAAAATTGAAAAGTAAAAGGTTGGGGAATAAAAAAGTACCAGACTTTAGGGGGAATTATTTTTTCCCGCCAATTCGATAGGATTAATCAAATGACAATTTTTTAGTAAAAAATAATTTAAATTCTTAAATTTGAGTCTAGTGAGAAGTCTCATTTTGAAAAAAACAAAACTCGTGATTAAGCGAATTAGCGATTATAAAAAAGAATTGGAAATTTCAGACTCAAAGGAGGACTAAGAAGGACATGCAAATGATTTTGATCACTTTTACATAGTTGCAAGTGGACTTATTTAGTCGACATGGTTTCAATAAGGAAGGGAACAGACAGAGAGGCATCACAACAAATTTTAATGGGCCATGAAAAAATCAGATTGGCAAATCCAAAAGAAAGGTACTTCTTGTCTTCTAGAGTTTACTACCTCATATGTGGCCCACATTGAATTACCGCAAATTTTGGATGGTTAATTAAAGCGAGCAATGCTAGGGTAGGGTAGGGATCCACAGTATTTTCCCATTTAGAAAGATACCTTATAAATATTTCAATTATCCCCCCCCCCCAACCCAACAAACACACACATTCAATCCCTTAACATAGTTAGACAGGATTTCATTTTTTTTATTCAACGATCGAAGATTTTTGGATCAATTAACGAGCATCTCAATTCACCTTGGAATGAAGATATCCATGAGGGATAAATCTCTCATAATCTTGTTTTAAGGAATTGTCAAAATTCGAATTCAAGACACTTATATTTACGACTCGTCTCTATTACTATTTGAACTACCCTTAATATTAATATGATTAAAATTTCATTTGATCCACCACCTGTGCAGGAGAAATCTCGAATACTAGAATTACTATTACACACAAAAATCAGTCAAATTTAAGTGTGAAGAAATTTGAGTTTATAATAAGTCTCACAATTCACCTCAAACCACTAGATTACGTGTAAGAATTATGACTTAGTTGACTACATATTTTTGACATTCGTAGATGAGATTATGACTAGTTGACTACCTATACTTGACATTCGTATATGGAAGATGTATCGTTGGTGGCCCTGATTTAGTAAACTCTAAAGTTGTAAGGAAAATAATTCTACAATTTTGTGCAGTTAATAGTGGAAATGGACAAGGAGACAGGAGCATGTGGTATCTCTGCATACCTTCACGGTGAGAGAAAGAGAAGGAAAAGAAACCCAGCGAATAGAAGAGCAGGCTTTGGATTCCTTGAGAGAAGAGAGATGAGAAATAGCAATATAATTTCAAATATTAAGCTGAGTCAGATGTCTAGACTTGATTGTCCCAGGTTCAACTTAGATTAAATTAATATTTGGCATAATAATTACGCCTCTCAATCAATCTTGATGAAATAGATTTGTGTTAAAAAAAAAAATATTTCACTTATATCCGATTTGTTTATCAATAATAACTTACTCTTGAAAAAAATAACTGAAGTATTTAATGTATGTCATTTCTGTTCTTACATAAAGACGTATCATTAATTTTTTAACGAAATGATCACGTGTTTGGATATAATTTAAGTACGAGTACTTTTTTCATGAGAAAAATGTTACTGATATTTAATTTAGAAACTAATTCAATGTAACAATCAAATTGAAAGTGAGTTTCAATTAATATCGGAATTTCATAATTAATTTAATAATTATATTAAATTAAACTTTTTATAACATCGTCAAATTAAATCCTTGCAACATTAGTTTTTTCTTTCTTTATTTTAAATTATTTTTTGATAATATAGGTTTTTTTTTTTTTGGTTTTGGAACAAAATCTAAGTGAATTTTTTTCTATTGGTTTGATTAAACATTATTACAAGAAGGAAGACGGTGAAATTCGAACTTAACGGCTAAATTCAGGTGTCGGTGAATTCCAACCTCAAACATTAACAACCGAACGAAGTGAAGAAAAAAATGGGAGAAACCGGAAAGTGTAAATGGTATATCACTTGCAACCAATATAATACTCTTTTCGTAAATGTGGCCGTTTATATTAGGATTGTAACTGAGATAATGAATGTTTAACTACTTTCCTATGGTCTACCATGCATTTATATATATACACAACGGGAGAGAGAAAGGAATGGCTATGAAGCTGCATTTCACCTTCCTAAAGCTTTATTCTTCCGCGTCCCCACCACCCCCCCTTGCTTTACATAATCTTCCTTTCCTCTGTCTCTCTTTTCTTCTTCCATCATTCATCCCACCTCCTCTTTCTCTCTCCCCAAAACACAAATCTCTCTCCCTCTCTACACTCATTCATGGTAACAGCAGACCTCAAGATATCGAAGCTCCCATAACAATGGCGAGCTTACATCCACTCTTCACCAGCTTCACTTCTCTCCTCCTCCTTCTCCTTCACCTTGGCTGCTTCACCTTCACCTCCAACCACCACCAGCAATCCAAGAAAAGAAAATTCTCTCCTCTCTCTCCACACTTCCCTCCCTCCTCTTCTCGTCTCAACAAACTGAAACCCACCAAAGCTCTCTCTTCCTCTTGGTCCTTCCTCAAACGCATCTTCTCCTCTAAACCCACCACACCCAGCTCCGAAACTCACCTCAATCGGTCCATTCCATCACCATCGTCCTCCACCAGATCATTACAACAATTTTCCATTGTCACCCCATCCGAAAATCTCGTTTCAAATCCTGTCCGTAAACGACCCTTTTTATCTCACCCAGAATCCGACATCTCTGCTGATCAACACTTCTTCCCTCTCCGAAACGACATCTACCCATGTCCAACTTGTGGTGAAATCTTCCAAAAATCCAATCTTCTCGAACAACACCAATCTATAAAGCACGCCGTCTCTGAGCTCATCGATGGTGATTCGGGTAAGAATATTGTCCGGATCATATTCAAAACAGGTTGGCCCGAGAAAGCAAAGAACCCGATTCTTCATCGGATCCTAAAAATCCATATCAGTCCAAAGATACTGAACAGGTTTGAAGAGTACAGGGAGTGCGTAAAATCAAAAGCTGCACTAAATGGCGCCGTTCGGAGACGAGACGAGAGGTGTATCGCCGACGGTAATGAGCTCTTGAGGTTTCACTGTGCAACGTTCCTCTGTGGTCTGGGGCAAAATGGTAATTCCACCTTATGTAATCATCAGTACTGTTGTGTGTGTGGGATTATCAGAAGTGGGTTCTCACCCAAGATGGACGGAATTTCTACACTATCTACTAGCTGGAGGGCACACGTGGCAATCCCTGATGAGATGGAGGAGGAATTCAAGTTCATGCACGTGAAGAGAGCCATGCTCGTGTGCAGAGTCATAGCAGGTCGGATCGGTTGTGACCCGGATATTGCGGATAAGGATGATCCCGGATTTGATTCGTTGGTGGGTGGGGGAGGTGGGGTCCAGGTAAGGTTGGATGAAGAGGATGAGTTGTTAGTTTTTAATCCGAGGGCCGTGCTTCCTTGCTTTGTGATAGTGTACAATGTTTGATTTTGAGATCGTGTGATGTGGAGTGTTTGGATTGGTCACATATTTAGTTAGGGTGGAGGCTAGAGTCACTGGTCGCTACACACTTTTCTGGCCACAGTCCCGTTACCCACCATTGATTAAAGGCAAATCATAATTATGAGGGGTTTTAAGTGCATGTTGTAACTGTGTAAAGTTTTGGGGTTTCTGTTTTCTTTTGTCTTTTTGGTGGATCACCACATCAACTTTCCAGGCAATTAGGGAGGTTGATGGGTTGTCATTTCAGATGAAAAAAGAAGTTTATGGTAGCAAATGTGGTAACTTTAATGTGTGTGAACAAAATATTTGTCAAATAAATACTAGTACAATATGTTTTCTAATTAAGAATGTTTAAGAATCTCGTTACAAGGAGACATGGGAAGAGCGAAGCCCGAACCCATGTCTTTGATCAGATGAGAGGACTATCTGTATCACTTGGGTTCTTCTCCCTTATTTCTAGTGTGACATATCAAGTCGTCTGGTTTAGAGCTCTATCTTAATCGGTATGAGTGATGTGACTTTATAACTTGTATATGGTGTGGAATTAGATACCTAGTTCTTATGATATATATATATATATATATATATATATATATATATATATATATATATATATATATATATATATAGTTTAGACACGAAATAATAATAAAAAAAAATTAACAATTAATATATTTGTATTCATACTTCAAATCAAATTACAAAAATAGAAGAGATAAAAAAAAATTTAAGTATCAATTGTAATAGAGCGCAAGTGGTGGGTGGGAGTGGTGGTAGGGGTGATGGTTATCAAGAGTAGTGGTGATAATCGAAGACGGTGATAGTTGTAATGGGTGATGATGACCGATTGTGATGGTAATAGTCGTGGGTAGCAATAGTGATTGTAGTGATGGGACGATGGGGGAGGGGGTGGTGGAATAGTGGCAATAGTGATAAGGTGGCTGCAGTAATAGTGGTGGTAGTAGTGGGGATAGTGATGTTGGGGCACTCGTGGCGGTGGGGGTGGTGGTAATGATAGGGTGACGACAACAGTGGTGATGATGGTGGTAGGACGATATGGGTGGTGATAGTTGTGATGGTGGTTGTGGGACAAATGGGTGTGGTGTTCATGGGGTTGGCAACACTGATAGCGGTGTTAGTGGTTATTGTGGCAGACGTGGTGGTAATTGTTGTAGCCGATGTGATAGTGTAATGGCGACGACGGTAATGGTGGTGGTGGGGCGACAGTGGTAGTTGTTATGAAAGAGGAGGTAGTGAAGTTGTAGCAGTTGGTTGGGTGGCGACAACAATGGTGATGGTGGTGTTGGTGGGGGTGTTAGTAGTGGTGATGATGGTGATGGGGTGGTGGCGACAGTGATAATGATGCTGGTGGTGGTGGGATAGTTCGAAACACTATTTTTTTTTTAAAGTATTTATGAAAAGTTATAAGTTTTAGAAACACTTTAAAAATTATTCCAAACACATCTTTAGAGGTTTATTTTCTATATTAAATTTGAGATATTAATATTGGCCGTCGAATCAACTTTAAATTAAAATTTAAATAAATCTCAACCACGAAAAGTAAAAGTCATTTTATTTATCTTTTGAGATTTGAATTGAATTGTATTTTATTATATAGATATAATAGTCATAACCTGTGTCTAAAGTCACGATAAAATATAAAATTTGAGCTCCCAAAAAATCGATCTCACTATATTAGATTTTTTCAATATGTGTGTATTATCGTATATAAATAATATTTGAAATAAAAATTATATTAACTACTGATATGGACAAAACTCAAGGTCAAGGTTTTGATGGCCCAAAAACCTGACTAGCCCAAGAAGCCTAGAGCAAAGGAAAACTTAGCATCGACAGAAGGCCTATAACCTAACAATCCAGACCCAGTTCAAGCCGTAAAGCGGTTTGGAGATTGAAAGTCCGATCCAAGCTATTTTTGGATTGCCAGTGGGAACCACGCACCTTAGGGGTCCAGGGGACCACTCTTGACACCTACGACAATCTCAGAGAAGGTGGAGCGCCAAGCCACGAGAGATCGTGGCAACGACAGCGCCGGATGAACAGGGACACCGAATGAATGGTGATCGTGGTGACAGAAAAAACAAGAAGGGGCAGAGGAAAGGACAAGAGGGATCAATACAAAAAGAAGGACAGCTGAAGACCCTACGAGAAAATACGTAGACACTCATCCTTTGTAAGTGGACTTTGAGTCCTTAGCTTCAAGAGGCACACCTCTGATCGATGAATATACAAACCCAACGAGTAAGAGACTATTGATAGTTGATGAAGCATTAGTTCATCAGCTAAGGTGAACCACCTATATTCTCCGTCTAACTGATCACAAAAGATAATTCATAATCTGCGAAACCTACTCAGAACATCATCCCATCATAGTTGGGCTTGGGCCATAAATTCTGAGCACCATCAACTATAAATTAATTAAATGTTAAATAATTAAATATATGATAGAAATAAGTGATGTGATATTTTTAGGGGAGACATATATAAATGATTAAAAATGTGATATAAATAAGTAATATAATATTTTTAAGAGAAAAAATATGTAAAGAATAAAAATTTAAATTACTATATATTTTATTAAATAGATATTTTGATGTACAATTGTTCCGTGTGCAATGTATTATTACCTTTTTACAGTAGAACATCATGGGAAGGCGTAGGAAAGAAACCCGGAAGAATGAAGTTCCTAGAAAGAGAGAAAAATATCAATTTTTCATTATTGTGAGATAAGCCGGGGATGGTCAATTGAGCCGGAAATAAATATTAGCAATTTTATTGGACTTTAATTTATTAGCATAATTTATTGACCTAATTTTCTGTAATTTTTGTATTCAGTGGTAGACCCCATAAAACATTGAAACTTAGTGTTAATCCAATAATTCATATGAAATCAAAGTATTAATTCAATAAATTTGATCAAATTTTTAGATTTAAATAGTATTACTTAAAAAATATTATTTGGAACTAATTTAAAGACTTAATCTGACAACATAATTCAATATAACCATGGATCGATAATGAAACATTTAACATTAAAACTTACATTTAATTCAATGATTACATTAAAATAATATCATTAAAATTTTAAATTAGGTCCTAAATTAGATACTTTTGAGTCCAATAGTTCTTTTTTGAGGGAATGGGTTTCAGTCTTTTTTGATGTTTTTAACCCCTTTATTTTTTTAAACGTCTATTAGACTTCGTTAAAAATTCTTGTTACAAAATGTCATTTTAAATGACGATTTTAAAAACGTCATTCGTAATAAAGTTTTAGCAAAAAAAAAAAATCATGTTCAAATCATCATTTCAAATGACGTTTTTAGGGGAGAAGACGTCATTTCAAATGACATTTTTAAAAAAAGATTAGATTTGAGAATTAAGTTTAAAAGTAATTGAGTTATGGAATTAAATTTCGAGGGCTGAGTTTGGGGAAAAGTTCGTAAAACAAGCCCAAAGTGTCAAATGTTTGGGCCAGTGATTGGATAACTTTTTTGTTTAGTTTGAACTTTGAAATTTAAACAAAAATTTGAATAAAAGTAAAAGAATAACGCATGACTGACCAAGAAATTTTAGAATGAATTTTATATTATTGGATTAAAATAAATAAAAATTAAATTAATTTTAACTCTCATTTTTTCTTTATAAATTCATAATTTAACTTCCTATAGGCAATATTAGATAAATTTACTGCCCCAATCAAAGAGTAAATATTGGGGGTAACCACCCAATAAAAAAATAACAAAAAAGATAAAATAAAGCTCATTTGTTATTATGGAGATGATTAAGCATTACATGGCTGTGTGGTCATTAGTTTTAGTGGGACACATTTATTTATTTATTTACTTATTAGTAGACGATTACACCACGTAACACTTGGTGTGTGTAACAATTACACTTAATATTTTTTCTCCAATGAGAGGCATGTGCAATATAAGACCTCAAATGCACCACCAACGTTTCCATCTGTATACTAAATGCATAGATCACAATCAAGGAAAAAAACCTTACATGATGCATGAAGAGTTGGAAAAAAGAGAGAAAAAAACAAGAGAAAAATAGAGAAAGAGAAAGTACTCTAAAAAGTGATATTACTAACCCAAAAGTTGATTGTTTGCAACTGAAAAACAGTAAACTAACACGTTTCAAAAACATTACACTAATAAAGAAGGAAGCGAGCACTGTTCACATTTTAGAATATAAATCTACTAGACATATTTTAAGAATCTGTGATCATCATCATCCATAAACATAATAGTTGTCCCTTCATGCATTTGCCGGAGAGAAACCCGGAATTAGGTTCTACCTTGAGAAGAAGAAAGACACCCAGTACACATTGCTTTCGTCACAATAGGATCTGAAGGTAGATGGATACGACCTTACCTTCCTATGTAGAATTATTTTTGCCATTCGAACTTGTAACACCCATAATGCCCGTGCCAAGTTCATGAAGCCATATATATTGTTGTTAATACATCCCTTGGGAGAATTGAGAAGATGAAACCATTTCTATCAAATCAATCTCTCGCTTTCCACAAGAGGAACCCTCATTCGCAACCAATTCCATCTTCATGTTGCCATAACTTGCATCATTAGAAGGTAAAGAAGTGGCTCCATCCAACAGATGAGAAAGGAAATGATCAGAATACAGTTGGGTCCTTGGACTCTCTTCTTTCTGCTGTAAGTTGAGATTGTGCATTTTGGGATCCTTATTTCCATGGAGCTGCTGATTACCATTGATATGATTGATCCTAAGGGGATTGAAACCAGTGGACTCTTTGGTATACTCGTTTTGAGATGGTTTTGCCCCAATAGAACCCTTGATTTTGCCATCGTCAATCAATGAATCGTTCGACTTGTTTCCAAAAAGGTTCAGCAAGAAATTCAGTTCATCATCGTGTGTGTGAATTATTAAAGATGTGGAGTCATCCGCCGATTGGGACAGTTCTGAAAAAAACACGCCGAATTTGATTGTTGGGTCTTCTGAGATGGTGGAGCTGGCGGGGGTTGTGGTGGTGGTGGTGGTGGTGCCGGAGGAAGTGATATTCAAGCCCTTGTTTCTGATGTATTCTTGTAATATAGTTGGTTGTGGGTTTGCATTTTGGCCTTGTTGTTTCTTGCTCTTTCTCCTTGAATTCTGCCTTCTTTTTGTGGCATTCCAATGGTTCTTTATTGAATTCTCGGTCCTTCCAGGTATTCGCTTAGCGATTTCTGCCCATCTGTTACCAACTTTCTCATGAGCTTCAATTAGCAGCCTCTCTTCTTCTTCACTCCAATTGTCTTTCTGAAAAAACAATTAATAAGAAGGATTTGAGGAAACATATACCACTAATTTATCCAATTAAATTCTGTCCCATGGAAATATTAGAGGTTGAAGTGGAACCTCTTGCTACTAATTACAATGCTTTGGTAGGGAAAAAAAAGGTTCAAAATCACATGAAAATGAACGCTGAACAAGCAAGGGAAAAGGAAGAATATGAGAAGGTGTAAACGGAAATTGGAGCCTGGCACACAGGTTTGCATGTCAAAATGTGAGCTGGAAGACAAAATCCTAAATACTTCTCTAAGAATTATGTTCTGTGACCTAAATAATTAAGCATAAAATAACATTTTTTGTTAAAAAAAAAAGGCCTAGAGATTGCAAAATATACCTCCTCTTGACAACTTTTCAGTCTAGTTCAATATCATTAACGTACAGTTTATAATTCCCAATAAGATAACCAGATTTGTTTTGTTAAACCACCGAGCAAAGACAAAATCTAAAGAAAATCTCAATTCTTAATTAGATACCCATCACAGATATCTATTAGAAATCCAACAACCGCCAAAGAAACTCAATTACTTGATTATTAAAGTTGGGAGAGTATATAAACAGAAAGCAACATAAATCCACATAAAAGAAAAAAGTGACCATGTAAAAACCCGGAAAAGCAAAGTGATAGGGAGAAAAAACCTTGATGTCAGGGCGTAAATGATTGTGCCATCGTTCACGACATTGTTTTCCTGCTCTACCGACCATTTTCTCAGCGATCTGAGCCCATTTTCTTACTCCATGTTGCTTTATCAACCTGACCAGTTTTCTTCATAACCCAAAAACCACAAAAAATTAACGTGAAAAAACTAAAAGAAACCCTTGGTGATTGGTATGTGCTGAATTTCTCATGGGAAAAAAAGGGAAAGAAAAGAAATCAAGGGACAGAGAAATATAGTTTATAGAGCAGGAGGAGGACAAATCTTGGTTTTATCACCTGTCTTCTTCATCTGTCCATTGCCCTTTGATCAAAGTTGTGGAAGAACCACCTTTCATTGATATCTTTCTGTGAGTTGATTTCGTCTCTTCTTTGAAATCCACGCTGGGATTTCTCTCTTGGGTCCAGTTTATTGTCTCTCCAACTGCGAAGAGCCCATCAACAAAGCTTGTCTCTCGAAGAGTTGGCCACGAAACCTCACTTGAAAAGCTAAAAACCCCATTTGGAGAAACTACTGGCTCTTTGTCGTTAACATTGTTCAGAGATTTTTGGTGACACAAATGGTTTTTATCCCAAAGAAACCTGTCTATGGCTGTTAATGAAAGACGAGGTCGAAAGGCATGAGGGTTATTTTGTAAATTTCCATACCGAAAACCACCTCCCCCAACACCTTCCATGAAAGAGAGGCTAACAAGGAGGCTAAAACAAGAAGAGAAAAGACTGTTTTAATGCAATGAAAACTGCTTTGATTAAGGAATGAGCAGAGGGGTCTTTGTGTTTTCTTCTCTGCATGGAACACAACTCCATAAAAATAGTTGAACAACGAGCTATACTCCCAATGTCTTAATGAGATACATGAACTGACACCCGTTGATAGTAAGAATCATCCAACGGCTGAGAATTGGAGGTGGCTGTAACTCCTCAGCTTCCTCTCAGACAAAATTTGTAAGAGAAGGAGAGGGATTAGTGGGGTAGTTAATTATAAAACCTTGAATTCTTAATTATTTTGGTAAACAAAATTAAATCATTCTGTTGAATAAAATTGAATTATCCTTAATTTGGGCACCCCCTATTAATGATTCATTTGGTACCATCATAACGAAAAAAGACAATAAAAAGGATAGGTACAAATTTTTCTTTTGAATATGAGTTATTTAATTGCAATTATGAAGGAGGAGAGAATTGGGGAGGGTTTTAAGCCCTGGGTTAAATTCTCTTGGGGGACTACTTAATGCTTCCCCATTGTAGAAACAGGTGTGTCTTCAATGTCAGTTTGGGTCTCTGAGGTTGATGGTCGACTCACATTGCAAGTGAAAACAGGTACATATGCTTGAGCCAGAATTTCATGCAAAATTGAATTTGTTAATTACTAGAGTTGGCAATGTCCAAATTTGAGCAGCTTGGGGTTATCAATTATAGATCTTCACTGTGATTGCCAATGCCATGCTTCAAACTAAACCATAAACCTATATACCATCTCTAATAGATACTCAAATTCTTGCTCAAATTCGAGTAAAAAATTTCATTCGATATAAACCACTCAAATGGAGAAATTCAAAGTTAAAAGAGGAGGAACTCAAATTCAAATGAGGACAAACTCCAATTTAAAATATTATAGAATATGACCGTTAGATTTTTAAAAGAAATGAGATCTAATCATTGGTAATTTAAATAAAGGTTCGAGTCTCCCTTGATTTGAGTAAAAAAAATTTAGTTTTTCTTGATTTGGTATGAGTTTCAGTATAATATTAAAGAAGGTTTTTAGGGACTTTTTACTCAAATTTAAATTTGAGTTTCGAAAATCAAATTTAGATTTGAGTAAAAACAAGTTAAAAATAAACTCCAACCCATTATTCAAACTTATACCTGGTGAAGTGAGAGTCAAATTTTTACTCAAATCAAAGGAGGTTGTATTTTTACTCAAATCAAGATTTTACCCTTCTTTAAATATGTCACCTTCTTTTGAATTTGAATTTGTCCTCTTTTAAATTTAAGTTAATTCATTAGAGTACATTGTATTAAATCAAAGTATTGAATAAAAATTTAAATCAAGGTTGAAGAAGGGTTAGCGTATTTTAACTTTGATTAATATCATATGGAATCATCATTAAGGTTTTATAGCTCTAGTCAAGGTTTTATAATTTGTCATAACTTAGGGGATTCGAATTTAAAAGAGGAAATGAGTTTTCTTTGGTTCCAGCCAACGTTAATAATACGGTGGTGGCCTGCAGTAAAAAGGAAATGAGTTTTCTTTGGTTTTTCCTTGAAAATATTTGCCATCGCTTCTGTTAGAGTATTTTAATAAAATGAGTAGAAACTAAATCTCACTGTCGACTAGTTTTTCAAAAACATTTGAGTTTATATACTATACTGTTGTTACCTTGTAAGTGAGTCTCACGCATGGGCAGAAGTGAGACCAACAGAGGAGATACTAGTTTCTACGATTTACGCACTGACTGCAGTGTAGTACCGCCCAACACTTTTTATTATATTTTATTTTACTATTTTTCGTGATAACTACCTTAATAAAAATTTATTTTCTGAATACCAAGGGTTTAACTACTAGTTTTCTAAGAATCATTTTATCATTTAATTCTAAAAATTATTATTTGATTAAATGCGTAAGCAATTTACAGAATATTAACACTCATATTTTTAAGGTATATATGTTTAAGTATTTCAGAATAGATAGAAACTCTTTCGTATCTTCTATATTCTTTTTTACTACATTAGTTTTCTAGGTAATATAGAAAGTTTTCGTTTGAAGCTTCTTCTTCATTTGATTGTGTATATTTGAGCAACAATCAATTAGGTTGAACTGTTGTATCTTCGGAAAGATGCATTTGCTATCTTCTGCATTATATTTCTTTTGTAAAAAGGCACGAATCCTTTTAATTAAACGAGTGATCTAATCCGCACCTTATCCCCATTCACTTTATTTTTTCGATTCTTATTTCCAACAGCATCTATAATTAAGGGTGTTCATGGGTCGGGTTGCCTACGGGTCCTATTATTCGACCTGAGAAAAATAAGTCTAAAATTCGATAAACCTAATAGTTGGTCCGCTTAAACCTGAACTCAATATCCTTCAAGAGAAAGCTTCACCTTGCCCTCAAAACAATCATCAGGTCCAAAACCCGCCTATGAGCCCACTTGTCCGCCAACCTAGCCCAGCTTGCTCGTCTACCCCAGTCCGCTTACTTAGCCTGTCTACTCCTCTATCCAATTATTTGAAAAAAAATTGACTATTGAAACTTAGAAAGTTTTGTAGTAATGTATGATTTTATTTTATTTAAATAAAATTATTCATTATTTATTTTTTGTTCATTTTGATTCTACTTTTAATTTAAAAAAATATTAAGTTGAAAATATTTTTAAATAAAATTGTGTATATATAAAAAAGGCCCACCCAGTGAGTGACGAATTGGGCTGCAAGTAGTTTATCCCTACCAAAAGCCTAACTTAGCTCGTCCTTTAATTTGTTCGAGTAAGAACTTGGGTCTACACTATTCAGACCTGGCCATGAACACCGCCTATCTATATTATCCTAAAATGAATAGGGGGCAATACTTTGCATAATTGGGTCAGCCAAAAAAAACAAAACTTAAATGTTATAAGCGTGTTCTTAAGGAAATAGTGAAACTTATAAACATGTGTAATTACCTAATGAAATCCGTTCGAAAAGTGATAAAGATTGCACTTGTTGCGTCATTGTTGAAGAAAGCACAATTTTCTTAGTACTGATAAGTACATTGTCGAATCTTGACAATTTTTTTAGAATCAAGTCATGAGAAATTTATCTTTTATGAATATCTTAGTTCTTGCATTGATGACTTGTCTTTGACTGGACTGAAGAAAAAATTAGTCGAGGTGCACGTTAACCGACTCAAGTACCCTTAACTATTGAATTAAAAAAAAAGTACTAATAAGTAATTAATGATTAGTCATTCTCGGTGTGTGCATTAAAACATGTATCATTATTACAATTATTTTGAATAAATGTACAGTTACGAGAGATAAGAAGTCAACATGTAATTAAGTCTAAATTGTGAAATCTATGTCTAATCAACGTTTTGGGTCAATCTATGATTGTTAGAAATTTGAGGGTCATGTCGTTATTATCTTTCTAAGACTGGTATGGTAAATCGTCTTTTAATTGAAACTGAAATGATAAATATTAATTTGTGACGAATGGGCCACTCTGGCCCTGACATCAGCGAAACCCAAGTTCAAATTTAGTCTGGACCTAAGTGAAACAACTAAAGTTGGGTTAGCCAGTGGGCAAAGTTGTTGGGTTGCTGTACTTTAGTTGGTCTGTTGGACCTTGTCGTGGCTCACGAGTGGCCCAAACAGAAGTTTCAATAATATTTGATGCTTAAATACTGAATTGAAGCTTTTTTCTTGTAAGACCATGGGCATATTTGGAGCTGGTTTTTTTAGATGGAAATTTGCAGTTTAAAAATTTTCGTAAAAAAATTAGAGTTAAAAAAGTCCCTCAAAATTATTTGTAGTGTTCTTTAAAAGCTGAAAAAATTGAAAAAATCTGTTTTGAGTGACTTTTCTAACTTTTTTGGTTTTGTGTAAAATAAAAAAATTATTATATGTATATATAGATTATGCATAATAGTTCCCAAAATATAAATTTCAATTTTTTTTACACTACTAATAATATTTTATGAATATAATAAATTAAAAAGTTATGTAAGACCTGCGACAAAATGTCTAAAAATCGAAAGAAATGCTCATAAAATTAATTTTTTGAATTAGCCTAAATAAGTTTTTTGAATCCAAAAAAATGGTACATAAGTTGGTAAAAAATTAAAATCCAAACGGACTTGACTTATTTTACTCCAAAGCATTTAAAAATTACTTATTTAACTAGCACTAAATATGCCCATTATTACAAAGAGAAAGACGTTGAAATTGAAACCTGCAACCTTAATATTGACCAGATAAATAATTAATATTGAATGAAACTAATGCTTTGGACAACTTGCTACCGGAGCAACTAAAAAGCGAGCACAAAGATTTGAATCTCATTGTTGTCATTGAACAATGGGGGAAAAAAAATCAATCGAACTCCTTTCCAATCCACTCAATTTTATTTTTATTTGATCAACTCCCCATTTGATCTTCCGTTGATGTGAAAAGCAATTAACCAAAGTGAATGCATTCCCGCACCCAGCCCCACCGTGCTCATTGATTTAAAAAAAAAATTATCGAGGTTGGAAAAGGAAAGAAGAAGCTTGATTTGGTTGCTAACGAGTCCCATCAACACAGCAAATAGCTTGTCGTCAAAGGAAAATAGCAAAAGAGAACATACAAATAGAGGCAATCTTATTTGTGGAGCCATATCATTCTAGGACAAAGGATGGATAGGAGGATTGCCATAAACATGGGCTGGTCTCAAATTATGTTTGCTTGAGACAAACATGCCCCATCAAAATGATGGGCCCTTGTTTACACTTTCTCCCCATTGGGAAAATGATACCTTTTTTCTCCCTAGTATTTGATTTTCTCTTGTGCATGGTATGTCAAACATCTTGTCACTTGTCATTTGGGAAGAACGTGAAGCCATTGAAGCTAGATGCTTGCTTGCTTGTGATATGTGGGGGGAGGGGGCATGGGGAGGAGAACAGGACATTTGACCTATTGCTCCAGTGTGGAGGACTGTAAGCATCAGGATAATGTCTCAGTATTATTGATTTCTTATTTAACTATAAGCAAAATTTGGAGCGAGCCACATCGGTTAAATTTGGGCTCCAATAAGCTACAATACATTTCAATTCAAACAATTTAATTATTCTCTTTTCAGATGTGAGATTTCAAATGACAATAAATACTCATTCGTCTAAATAATACATCGTGAATTTAAGTTTAAGAATCAGTCTCTCTAACATGAAAGTAAGACTGTCTATTACTTACATCTCCTCATGAATGACTTGTGCATTTGATATGATCATTTTTTCATTTATTACACAAATTTTATACCGATGCTAAATGGAGTGAAAAAGGGTGAATTTGAATGAAACAGTGGTGACCATTTGTGTTCAACAATTTATTCTAAAAATGCCAAATAAAAAAATTGAATTTCCTAGGGATCTGAACATCTTAAAGACTAGAGTATGCAATATGTATGGAGTTGGAAGAAGAGAGGTGGCAACTGGCAAGGCATGGGTCGATAGATGGAGACATGGGGGAGTAGAGTAGGTCAATGTTACTGTGACCATCATTTCTTCACGTGTTTTGGCCGTCATTTTCTGCTTGGCCAAACTCCAACCCCTTGGTCGACCTTCCCATATCGTACATAGCCCCCCATGTGTTCGACAAAAGTTTTCCTAATGATTTGATTTATTGTATTGTTTTCAGTTGGCAATGCTACGTTCAATCAAATGCTTGCTTCATTCCGTCGACATTTGCCAACTTTGAGGAGATGCATGTGGGAACAGAAAAACACTTAATTATTTATGTTTAAACATATTAAGAGGCTCAAATTAGATCATAATCATTTTACATTTAACCCGTTATTGAAGAATGAACTTGGCATTATTTTATACATTAAAAGTCTTAGTTAAAATTGCGTTCGCTCAAGTTATAAGTCACACATACTATTTGTCACCAATGATTTTAATTAAAAGATATCGGATTAAGATTAACTCGTAATCAAGATGAATTCAAAATAACATGAGATGGTTTGATCTTGACACTCATAATCACAGATTTTTGATTGGAAGAGGAACTTTGCAAATACATGATACAACTCAGTGGGACTAAAATGTTCTTTGCACAATTGATTAAGCAAAGCATGTGATTATGCTAACAGTGAAGCAATTTTCTTATATAAGAGAGCACTTGCTAGTTTCCTTGAGGCGAAAATGTAGAGGCCACCAGTGGAAGCATGATCCATTTTTGAAGCCTCATTATGAGGCAAGCAACTAGCTCAAGACACCATGCCACCAAGAACCACTAACCAAGAGAAGATTGTCAACGAAGATGCATAACACAGCGGAGCTCACTGCCTCGGTTCTGGCAGAATTTTCTTTGTACTACTACATATACTTGACATTAAACCATCAAAAGACTTAAAAACTTGCGAACTACCGGATCTGAAGACAGAAACATACAGAGTAATCATTTAACATGAGAAAAAATTATTTTTTGTGAATCGAACTCATAACGTTTAACTTATAATGGATTGACCGTACTATTACGTCAATTATTTTTTTAGTTCAACGATAAAATGTATTCGGACTAACTTATGCACATCTCAACTAATCTCTTCTCTGGTCCAATCAAAGACAAACCATCAACTTCGAGACTAAGATATTCATGAAAAATAAATTCTTTGTAGTTTGATTCTAAGGGATTATCAAGATTTGAATTCATAATTTCTAAATTTACAATTCATTTCTATTATCACTTCACGTACCTTTGAATTCAGAGCAACTCTAAGGGAGAGTGGCATCAAGGGTGACAACCCAATAACTGCCAAAATATCACCTTCAATTCAAAATTTTCATTCTAACGACAACTCTGAAGAGAGAGAGAGAAGTTGCAATTGAGTTTAATTATATTTTTTAAGAGCAACTTTAAGGTGATACTCATTAAAATATATTAATATATTTTGACAGAAATAAAAATATTAAAATGACATCATATTTTGATATCTGTCATTTGAGTAGATTTATAATTTAAAAATACTAAATTATTGTTCAAGATTACAAATAAATAATTTGTCACCGCAAAACAACAACTCCCTTTCGAGTATGGAGTTGCTCTTACCATTACGTCAATGACGGCTATGCCTCCATGCTTCATCCTCTATATTTGAACTTGTGCTGTAAAGTTGGAATAAAGCCCACTAGAGATCAAAATTGGACAGAGAGGAACATGAATTTGCTCACAGAGCATCTCATACCAAACTGCCAAAGACTGAAGTTGCAGATAACACAACACTGCACGAGAAGCATGGGCTTCGTTCCCCAAATTTTATATCTTTCTAGTACCTCTTTTTTTTTTTTTTTAACTGTTAGAATTGTCCGAATTAATTTATCCACCCCTTAATTAATTATCTCTCTAGTCCAATCAAAGATAAGTCATGGAATTCATATTGAATAAATCTCTTACAACCTGACTCAAAAGAATTTTTAAGATTCAAATTCAAAATGTCTGAGTTCACAGTTCATCTCTATTACAACTTGAGCTACCCTTATAGTTTTTTTATAATTCTTCGACAACTCTTAGAAATTGCAAAAAATTGGCATCAATGTACTAACAAAACTTCAACTACAATTTGGCCATGTGATTGTGTTACAAGAGAATTATGAGGGGAAATAAAACACATAAAAAAAAAAACTGTGCACAGCAAAAACAAATTGCAAAGCTTCCTCTTTCTGGCTTGAAAATAGTATAGTGCTGGGACTGAGAGATCTCTGGAAAATATTGAAGATACCAAAAGTTGCCAAACATATTGCAGTTGTGGCCATAAGTTTCTGTCTCGCCCCTTTCCATGTCCATATTTGCAAACCCCACCAGTAAACTCCTACTTTCTCAACTTCCCCACTCAAAATAAGAAGAAAAGTCAAGAGAGGCTCAAGAAAAGAAATTTCAATGCGGAAATTTCTGTTTTCTTTCCTTCTTTTTTCTCTTTGTTTTATTATAGTTGATAATTGATTATTGGGTAAAGAGGGTTGATCAACAAGTCTTTAGGGGGAAGTGGTTTTCGTAATTTTTTTTTTTCCTTTTTCCTTTTACCTTTTATTTGTTTGGATTAGGCGTCGGTGGTGGTGGTGGTGTCAGGGGAGCTGAGAGGGAAACAGGTGTCCTCGCCGCCGGTGCTCCAAAGAAAATGAGCATAATTAGCAGCATAGTAAGAGTTACTGGGGTCAGCAGAGATGGCTTCCAAGTATGTCTCTTCGGCAGCCCAAAGGTCCTTCCTCACTTGCCATAGGAAGCTTGCATACTTGTTCAATGCTTCAGCATCCTTAGGCTCCACTTGCACCGCCCTCTTGAAGTAATCCTCAGCCCTGTTTCAAACGCAAAAGCAAACCTATTAAAAAAACCATCTTTTCCATGTCCAAGAACTCAATCAACTAGTAAGAATTAAGCTCTGGAATGTGTTTTTGATCATTAGACAATATTCAAATGACTATCTAATACACAGGCTCACGCCACTGTCAACAACTACGGTGTCCATGTGAAAACACTGGTTCCCACTTGTTGAACACGTCTCTGAGTATTATTATCCTTGTACCAAGTCCCGTCATATTCTAGACCATATTGAAATCTTTGCCAAAAAGTATAGATAGTTTTTTTTGTCAAACCCAACTCAGTATTCACGGGAATCCAATAGTAAAATGATAGTAAGCTACCCTACAAAGACTTGAGCTCTACTGGAGATTGTAAAAAGCCTGGATATTTCTTTCGTGTTGTGACATCAGCCAATGGAGATCATTCTTGCTAATAGAAGAACGAAAACCAAACCAGGGTACACCACACACTCCCCTATCTTCTTCTTTTTTGGGTTCAACCCTCGGCTGACCGAGTTAGCTTATACACACCTCGAATAGTTTCTTCTCCGGTCTGATGAAAAGCGAACAATCCACATGTTAAAATTAAGGAATTTATAAAAAATAAATACCTTTGTTCCGGCCGCCCAACACCACACGCTACCCTATGAAGATTGAACCCTGACCCAAATTTTAACAAGACGACAATTTGGATTTTAAATGGTCAGATTTCTTGCCCCCTAGAACAGTAGTGCATTTAATAAGAACTACTGAACTAGTCTTGACTTGTTACTGAGCTAACCAAGCTCAAAAACTTAGACTAATTGTAGTATTATCCCATTGGGTTTAATTGCAAAAGTGAGAGGAAAAATTTTGTGAATGAAAAAAGTTGATAACTCACTCGAAAACCCACAAATAATTAATTGAGATTAAAAAGGAGAAAAACTGTATATGTACCTGTCGTAGTCACGGAGGACAAGGTAGAGGAATTGAGCATAATTGGCCAGGAGAAGAGGGTTATTGGGCTCTTGAACTAACCCTGTTTGATATAGAAGTTCTGTTCTAATATAATCCGCATAATCATCATCTTCAATCTTCGCATTGATCGGTGAAACAAATCTCTGCATCGTCTCATGATCCAAGGCATCATTTTTCAACACGGCCTGCAATTTTGAAGCTTCTTCCACAATCGAATTCCATAGCCTCACCTCTTCTTCTCTGGTCACTTGCGCAGAAACAGACTCTTCTTCACTTGTTCTTGAAGTCCCAATAGATGACACTCCATCAGGAATAATTGTTCGATGAAATTCCGAAGAGACCGACCCATCAAACCCACCATCACCATCTGTTCCACTAGCAACCGCCTTGAATTTCCCACCACCACTGCCGTTTCTTCCACCAATTGAGGTAGTCTTTCCACTTGAAGAAGACACTGAAAACGTCTTAGTTGTGGAAGAATCAAACTTTTGCTGCTTCTTCTGATCTTCCATTACAGAAACACACTCCGTCGTAGCTGCATAGGCTTGCGGTGGCAGTGTGGCGGCGATGGCGGTGTTAGTAGCCATGGAATGCACACTATAATTGGCTAAAAGTAACATCACATACACCATTAAAGTGGGTGTATGCGAAAATACTTGTTGAAACAACCACACAAAAGACGCTTGCATCTCCTTCTGTACTCGACCCAAGATCCCTTGTAAATCTTGGTAGAACAATAACTCCCTCATTTGCAAAGTATAGCTTTGGAGCTCTTGGATTATGAACACCATAGACGAAAAGGCTTTCTTTACGGAGCAGTACGCCGACTCCCCTGCTTCTCTAAAACCCTCCTGCCATTGTTTCTTCCTTTTGATTATCCGTAGAGAGAGCGGAAGGTCAACACTGTTCGCCTTCCGCTCTATACTCGCCGGAATTATCTCATCCCAACCCACCCAATGCGGTGGCTCAACAGGGTCCAGCTTTGAACTTGGAAATTTTTTACCATCCACAAAATTGTTGCTGCTATTGTCAATGTCTTCAGTGATCTTGCTTTCTGTATCTATTGAATCAACAAGAGCATTCTCTGTGTTTTCTTCATCATGTTCGGATAACTGGAACTTCAGTGCCATTTCTTGGATTTTTTTGGAGAATTCTTCATCTGAAAATGCGTCTAAGCAGGCACTGCAAGCCCGTTTGATTGTTTGGCGTCTCGATTTTGGGTGTTCCCAAGATCGAGACCTGTGGAGCTTCGTAGATGCGGTTCCGAACAGAACTGATCGGTCCAGTCTGTGGACGTACCGGCACAAGAGAGCCCCATCGGTTATACACCGTCTTTTTGAAGAAGGGGATGAGATTGCAGAGGCCAAGGTTTGGGAAAATGGAGGTGATTGAGGAACAGAGGGTTGCGACCACTGCAAACAGGTCGTCGCAACTTTCATTCCCATTACTCACCCACCAAACCGAATCCAAAGAAGAAGAGAGAGAATCCAGAGGCTGATTGTATATTAAATAAGAAGTGAAGTGTAAAAAGAAAAAGGGTAGGTTTGGAATCAAAGTCTCGGCAAAGCTTTGTGAGGGAAGACAATTTTCTGGTCCTCCAAACGGCAGTCCCGCTCACTTTTGATTTGTATACAGAAAATATCCTTCCTTTCTTGCTTTTTACTCACCTGAACCTGCATGATTAAATAAACCACCAACCAAATAAGTCAAGCAATCAGGTAACTGTATACACACTTTTTCCCGGAAAGTAAACTCACATGCAAAGACCATAATCACAATTTTCCGGGAAAGTAAACCGACATGGAAAGACCATAATCACAGCTTTCACAGAAAATAAACGCATTAGAAGCCACGAATGAGCTTGTGATTTTGATGATTGCACCCACTATTTTTCCCCTTTAAAACCGGATCAGACAACGAAATTCAAGAAGACTGAAATGGCACATATATTCATGTTAACAACTATAGCTCTGATTTCTATTTTTTGTTTCTGCAAACGCTTACTGGATTGGTACCGGTCGTCGATGGATGTGCGATGAAGCTCCGATTAGGTTTCCGGTAAGTCTTCCGATTACGAAGCACGAACACCGTAGCTTTTCACTTATCAAGAAGCGAAAGCCTTTGAGGTGTTTATATACACGAGGTGCCTCTTCTCTCACAAAAAAATCTCGACACAGTCCAAGCGGTAGAAAGTACACAAGACTATCACATCGTATATATACACGATATACACTGTTTGTTTATATGTATGTGAGAGAAAGATTGTGTAACCTACATGGTATATGAAAGGGTAGAATCGGAAAGGGTGGTTAGGGTATGGTACTATGGTTTGAGAGTGGGTGGTCCGAGTCAGCGGCAAAAGTTGAAGGGGGTTGCGGGGTTTCTTCTGCGAAACAGGTTGGAAAACTCGTCCCACGCGGCTGGGTTCACGGACACACACTAGATCTTGATATGGGCATTGTTCATGTGCACGCCGACACTTCATTAATTAAATAGGGGTTCTTTTTCGCTATTTGAACCGTGATTCTTACTTTGTTCCCACGTGCATTGTAACTTTTTTCTGTGTAAAAAATAAATAAATAATATTTTTTCGTATATAATCTATCGACCTAATTTATTAATTTAATTTATTATAAACGTTAATAAAACTTAGTTAATATTAAAACTTGACGTTGGTCTAACTACTAAAATTAAACATATAGATTCGTTAACATTTAGAAAAATGGAACAAACTAGGACAAGAAACACAAAAATAAATGTTATTTTACATTTGACCAAAAAAAAATGTTATTTTGCATGAAATATATGGTAGGGTTATCGGTGAAAATTCAGAAAATAAAGAGAGCGTCGTTGAATATATGGTAAAATAAAAGGAGTATAGCTTAAATTTTCCCATTTTTTTATTAAATATATGAATTCTATTGGCCATTAATTTTTGTTAACGAATTCCAATCGAGAAGATGGGCCCAACTAGGCCTCTCCCGAAATGTCCATAAAGCCCTTAGCTATGGCCGCATGCAAAATTGCAACGTCTGAAAATATGATAATTAAGGCGACATTTCACTTCTGGTAAGTAAATTATTTTTGATAAGTAATTGATTGCAAGTTATTTGTGGAAATAAAGTAGTACGTTTTTTTTTCTATTAAAGTTCATTTTCACGTTATAAAGTAATGAAGTTGCCTTAAATTTCACATGATTATTGAGGTTGAAAGGACCGAGTCCGACCCATACCTAATTCTTTCTCCTCTTTTAGCGGATATTATTTTTCATGAAGTATGACAATCAACCGGTCTCTCTTCCCAAACTCGAATAAAAAATCTTATATTAAACTCCGATAATTTTGTATGATGTAACACTAATCTATTACGTACTAAATCACAATTAAAATTGGTGGCGTACGAACAAAATTATTAAAAAAAATATATATTTTATCATCTTGCACGAGCATTGTCTCTTTATAATATTTAGCTTCTGTTCAAATAAAATTCTAAAAAATAAAATCAAATATGCATGTGGTGTAGTTGGTATCGATCGGATACAATTAAGCATCGATTGTAGCAAATTTTAATATTATTTTTTATTAGAAAAATTTGGAGATTAATTTTTCTTTAGAAACTTATTTGGTGATAAGTCTATCAAGAAAATTTATTTAATATTAAATCTATTTTGATCTCCATTGTCTAAAAGACTCCTATTAGTTATGTTTAATTAAAACAAATTTGAAAACTAACAACTCCTATATTTTAAGAGTTTGATTAACATTAAAATTATATCTCTCATTAAAATAGTATATTCACAACATGTACCTCAAGGCACTATAAAACATAAAATTCAAACCTCCAAAAAATTGATTTTATTATATTAAAAAAAATTATTTTTATCTATTATTTTCATATAAATATTGACAAAAATTTTTCAAAATACGTAATTTGATAAAATTTTTCCAATATGTACTATTATGTATGGATAATGTCTGAAAAAAAAATTATGTTAAACAAAAAATTAATCAAATATTAAATCATTAAATATGTGACAGAAATAGGTGAAGTAATGGTTTTGAGGAGAAAATCTATAGGGGATAAAATTCAACCTCTTATGTGTTTTATTATATAGATATATTAGGGTATTTTATGCCTAAACGCATTATGCAATTAAAAAAAAAAAAGTGACTTCTCACAATGAAGTAACGGGTGAAGTGAGGGAGGATAGAATGGATTTAGGGAGAAAATGTGCTGGGGATAAAATTTTAAATAGCTAGATGATTTATTATATAGATAGTAATATAAAAAAAATAGTAACATTCAAACACAAAAAATAGCATAATTCAAACACAAAAAATAGTACCATTTAAACACTCAAAAAAGTAATAACATTTAAACACAAAAAAATAATAACATTGAGTATTAATATTTCAGAAAATAATAGTAGAAATATGCTCAACAAAAACAATAGGGTTAATCTCATTTTGTACCCCGAAAGATTGTTCGAATCTCAATTTACACCCTCAAAGATAGAAATTTGTATCAATGTGCACCCCCAAAGATCAAAAATCTCAATTTGCACCCTCAAAGATAGAAATTTATATCAATGTGTACCCCAAAGATAAAAAATCTAAATTTGCACCCTCAAAGATAGAAATTTGTATCAATGTGCACCTAAAATTAAATTGATAAATTATACCTAAATCCCCTCATATTTGTCAGTTAATCATTTAGACCTTTTCACATTTAGAATATTACTCCTACATCTTATGACATTTGTGCACGTATAACACGTAACCCATTTTCATTGATATCTATTAATATAACCGTTAAAAAATATAATTTTATCCTAATAAAAAATTATAATTTCATATTACCATTTAGTTTATAGGTTCAATATACTATAAAGTTCAAAATCTAGTTTACCATTTGAATGTCTAATAAAATATAAATATTTATATAATATTTTTCCTATTACCTTTTATATAAATATCTACATTTTATTAGACATTCAAATGGTAAGCTTGATTTTTAACTTTAGAATATATCAAATTCACAAAATAAAAGGTAATATAAAATTATAATTTTATATTATGATAAAATCATATTTTTTAACGATTATATTAATATATATCAACGAAAAGTGGTTATGTGTTACACATGCATAAACGTCATGAGATGTAAGGGGAATATTCTAAATGTGAAGGAGTTCAAATTATTAAGTGACAAACATGAGGGGATCAATGCATAATTTATTAATTTAATTTTAGGTGCACATTAATACAAATTTCTATCTTTTAAGGTGTAAATTGAGATTTTTTATTTTTTGGGATGCACATTGATACAAATTTCTATCTTTAAGGGTGAAAATTGAGATTTTTGATCTTTGGGGGTGCACATTTATACAAATTTCTATCTTTGAGCGTGTAAATTGAGATTTTTGATCTTTGAGGGTGTAAATTCAGATTCGAACAATCTTTCGAGGTGCAAAATAAGATTAACTCAAAACAATAATATGAACAGTAACATGTCAAACAAAAATAGTAATATGCTCATAAAAACAGTACACATGAACAATAACATGACATATATATATATCAGCATTTATATTACTTATAAATATCAGCATTTGCCAATAAATTTTGATTTCCTATTTTATCCCTAATTATTATAATAAAGTCAATTATACTCACATATATACTTTCATCTAATTTTTATTTTTTACTCTTATTTGACTTTTAACTTGTTTTGGACTCTTTTATAATAAAGACTTTTAAAATTTTTTGAACTCATTTATTAGTAGTACAATTACATATAATTTTTTATATCTATTTGAAGAGTAAAGTTCTATATATATTAAATTATTATATACTTATAGTTACCGGATTAAATTCTACAATCAAATCTATATTACATTTTATTTTTTGGTATGTAATAATATAATAATATCACAAGCGATCTAATCAATCTATTTAATAAACTAAAAAGTGATTCCTAAATAAAGGATAAATTAGGTACTGGAAAATTTATAAAATAAGATAATAATAATTAAAATATTGATTAATTAGTCGACACCTAATTTATTATTTAATTTAATTATACATATAATTGGTATTTATAAAAAAAATTATTTAAATTAACTTCCATGCAGTGCACATCATGCATTGATAGCATATATAGAGACAAAGAGAGTATCAATTGTTCTTGAATTTGAATTTTAAATTTATGTAAAAAAATTTATTGACATATTTTCATTGATAGTAAATTAAGAGATAGTAATTATCAAGTTAGGAAATTAATTTAAAGTTACTTTTAATGATGGGTATTTTGAAATTTTAAAAAAATAGTAGACTTAACTACTTATTATTATGATTAAAAACAAACTTATCCCCAAATAAATTTATTTAACAGATTAAATTCATTACAAGTCCCTTAAGGAGGATTTAGTCCAATTATCACTTTTTATTATGACCAATTAGATTTTAAATTCATAAAATTAAAAATATTATTTAAATTAATTTACGTGCAGCGCACGTCGTGCATTGATAGTATATATAGAGAGAAAGAGAGTATCATTTGTTCTTGAATTTAAATTTATGCAAAAAAATTTATTGACATATCTTCATTGATAATAAATTAAGAGATAGTAATTCTTAAGTTAGAAAATTAATTTAAAGTTACTTTCAATGATGAATATTTTGAAATTTTTAAAAAAATAGTTGACTTAACTATTTATTAGTATGATTAAAAATAAACTTATTTTCAAATAAATTTCTTTAACGGATTAAATTCATTATAAGTCCCTTAAAAAGGACACAACCTAATTTTCACTTTTTATTAAGACCAATTAGATTTTAAATTCATAAATTTAAAAATGACGTAAATATGCAAAACTAAAAATTGATTGAATCATGCTTGTCTCACTAAATATTTGAAAAAAAAATTACAACCGACATTAATGTGTCAAGCTCAAAGGCACAACTCATGTTATAAGCTTAGTTCAAGTTTATAGTCCGACTTCAAGAGATCCAGCGAATCTAGCCCAGTGTAGCCAATCCGGTCAAGCTCATCAGTGTGATTAGTCCGATCATGCTCAGCAGTTCAAGAAGCTAAGGGAGCAAGCAAGGTCATCCAAAGTTTTATCCTCGTTGCTTTGGAGATGGTCAACACCCCACCTCATTCTTTGATCGAATCTCATGGAGAACACGTAACTGTCTCGCACGTTGACAAGAGCTCACTAGATCTAACAAACTAACCAGTTAGTCGCTAACG